GCTCGCCGGGGACAAGGGGAAAGGAAAGTGGGAAGTCAACACGAGCTGCCTTTTCCCTTTTTTCGGGCAGAAGAGGTATCGGTTGTGATGAAATCCACGGCTGGGGTCGCGGTGAGGGGGGAGGGACTTTGGCTGGGGGCGGAAAGCAGCATCGCAGGCCCCCAGGGCCCCGGGCTGACTTCTGGGGGGCCAAGCCCCCACCCAAAACCCAGTGCCCGGCCCCGCTGAGCGCAGCTCCCAAAACCTGCCCTTGCTGGGAGCAGGGCACGGAGCCAGGGCTCAGTCAGGGCCGGGACAGGTGGCTGGGGCAGAGCCCAAGGTCACCCCCAGCCCCCGCACACCAAGGCCAGGGGCCCCACTGCCTCCCCCAGCATCTGCGGGCTGCAGCCGCTGCCCCGCCCCAGCCCACAGACAGACACAGGCTGTTTGCCCCGATAGAAGTTTTATTACAGAATTTTAATGGCACTGCAGGAATAAGATAGTCATTAGAGCCCTAACACCCAGCCTGAAAAATATACATTTTACATATATTGTTAACCCCCGGCTGCAGGTCTGGTCTTCAAGCAGGAAACTAGTTTCTCTTCAGTAAGAAAATATATGTTGCTAAATGAAAAATATACAGTTAGAAGAGTTACTGGCTTGCAAGCTGCTTGTCTGGGGGTTAAACCTCTACCAGCTCCAGAGTGTTAAACGAGGGTTTGTTCATGTGTAAAAGAGGAAGAGGTATAGTGTATAAAAAAAAAAAAAAGGCAAAGTTCAGGTACGCTCGTTTGCTCGGTCCAGTTAAGAAATGGCCTTGGCTTCGGGTAGGAATGCTTCCCAGTACTTCACCAGCTGTGGAGAGGAGAGAGGGACAGTCAGGACCCCACGGGCTCTGTGCCAACGCACTCCAAGCCCAGGAGCATTTGCGGGGCAGGGGGGAGGTGAGCAGAAGTCCCTCCACAGGGCACAGCCCCCCCCCAAAGGCATCAAGGGGGATGCAACGCTTATATTCTGCCCTGCTCCGGCCCGGGAGGGTCCATCCCTCCCCTGCCTGGGGGGCAAGACGCACCCACCGTGGGTCCACGCACGAGCAGGGAGGGAGCTGGCCTTGCTGAGCTTTGAGAGGTAAAACCACGGCAGGGGCTGGGGCTACTCACCTGCTGCTGAAGGTTTAACAATGTCTCCAGGTATTTAGTGACGTGGTTTCTGAAGTCCTTGGATTTCTCTTTCTGCAAGAGACGGGCGCAGGAGTGAGCACAAGGCTGAAAGAACCACCAAAACCCTCCGGTCTTTGGGGGGGGGGGGGG